TAATAATTCATTATTTAAAATATGAATACAATATAATTTTATCTACATTTTTCTTATACCATAAAAGTTTATATTATAATTGCAACTAAATAATAAAACTTGCAACTAAACAATAAAACTTAGGTTAAATACCCTTTTTGGTCCCTCTACATAGGAAAAAGCCCCTTTTTAGTCCCTATACCGAGAAAATCCCCTTTTTAGTCCCTAAATTTCAAAATCCAGTCCCTTTTTGGTCCTTCCGTCAGTTAAGTGACAGAGTGGCACTATAATCTGTTAAATATTTTGCCTTTTTTATTTTTATTGTTGACGTGTTATTACAGCTAATCAATAGAATGCCACATGGAAAAAATTGATGATGTGGACTAAAACAAATTTGATGAGATGGCATTTTTCTTTTTTCATGTGATATTTTTTTCATATTTAAATAAAAACTCACATAATTCATTATTATTATATTCTTCTTCTTCTTCCTCCCTTCTTCTCTCTTATCCCTCCGCCCCTTCCTCTTTCCCAACCTTCTTCCTCCGCGAACCCAGCAAGGGGGTTCCATGAGGAACCCAAGACCTGGGTTCATGAAACCCAGCTACTGGGTTTCGCGAACCCAGTCCCAAATCTGGGTTCCTCACGGAACCCAGTCCCAATTTCTGTGTTCTTTTCTCCTTTTTCTGGTAAATTTTTAGCTATGGATTCTTTGCTATACTGCATGCTATAATGCTATAATTGTAGAATGCGTTCGTCGCAGTACATGTCTCCTTCCCCTTCAGCGTCCTCGCCAGCTCTGTTCCAGCCGACGCCACCGATATCAAAAGGTAAGCAAACACCTACAAGAATAAAGCTCAGTTCAAATTCCGCATAGAATATGAGAGACGGAAGAGGAAATAGTACAGTGGCTGCGACAGGGACCGGACCTGGTCGTGGCAGAAGTCGAACCAGACCTGGAGGCTTTCGGGGAAGAGAGTATCTCCGCGGGAGATCTCCCAGACGGAGGCGGCCATTTCGAAGAGGGAGTACAGCGCCACTATTGAGTTTGCAGCGAGAACGAATCTGGGGGGATTACAATTGAGGACGAAAATGAAATTTAACCCAGAAGCAAATCGCAATCAAGAGATCTAGAAGTTAAAACGCACCTGAAAGCTGCAAAATCGTACCAATGAGGGGAATCGGAGCTGTCGGAGTTCGTGACCATGAAAACAGAGGAGGCAAGGGAGAAGCAGAAGGCGACATGAAATCCTACATCCTTGCGAGTTAGGACTTAATTAAATCCTTGGACCCGTCCATCTAACAATATAATACCCCTTAGTGAATTCAAAGAGACAAAGATGATCAAAGAAACAATGGCGAAGGATGATTTTCCAAACGATTTACTCACAGACATTCTCTTCACCTTATCCACCAAGAGTCTTCTTCGATTCAAGAGCATCTCAAGATCATGGTGTTCTTTGATTGATGATCCCTTTTTTGTCAAATCTCATCATCAAAGATCCACTGAAATCAACAGAAACTCCGAATTCATTGTGCAAGGAACGGATGGTCAGATGTTCATAATAAGCTTATTAGATTCAAGCAACTGGGTTCCTCATGGAACCCAGATTTGGGACTGGGTTCGCGAAACCCAGTAGTGTAATCCCAGCTAGCAATTTATAAGTTATTATGCAGAATAAACAAGAGTAATATAGTGCAGAAAAATAAAAAGAAAGGGAAGAGAATATCAAGCCGTGATTTATAGTGGTTCCTCCAACCCGGAGTACGTCCACTCCCCAAGCCTC